TCTTTCTTGAGCTAACTTATGATTTCTTTCAATGCTGAAAGAAAATCGAAGTAGATGAATGTCATGCCAGTAGTTAAATTTCATAGCTAAATTCTGTAGGGATTCCATACAATTAATTTTGTTCTTCCATTCAGATTGACGACCTCAAAAGTCTATGCAAACTAGGCAGTCGGACACCAGGACATCCAGAGAATACATTGACAGATGGCATTGAAGTCACAACTGGTACAAATCTGAAGTGTACTGATTATGATCTGAAGTGTGATCTAATAATGTGCACACTAAACAATTTATCCTTTTTTTTTTTTTTGCCTTAAAACACCAGGGCCCCTTGGACAAGGTGTAGCAAATGCAGTCGGTTTGGCTCTTGCTGAAGCTCATTTAGCTGCTAGATTCAATAAATCTGATATCGCCATTGTGGACCATAGGACGTAAGCAGAATTGTTAGTACTCTAATGGCATGTCTAATAAGGTGGACTCGATAGTAATAAATAATAATGAAGAAAAAAAATACAAAATCTTGTTTATTACACTACCGAGTCTTGGTACTATGTACCAAACATGCCCTTGTGTATATATGCAAGAGATTCTGTCTACTATAATGTAACTGTTCTATTATCAATTCAGATATTGTATCATGGGCGACGGCTGTGCTATGGAAGGCATATCATTTGAAGCTGCATCATTAGCAGCGCATTGGAAGCTGAACAAACTCACGTTAATTTATGACGATAATCATAATACAATAGATGGCTCTGCAGACCTTGCATTTTCTGAGGATATATCACTGCGATTTAAGGCGTTGGGCTGGAATACAGTAACAGTGGATGACACGCAGAGCAATATGAGATCATTCAAGAATGCACTTTTGGCTGCTTATAGTGAGACACAGAGGCCAACTTTTATCAGGGTTTGTCTTCTGTGGATTAAATCCTAATACCTATTTCAATTGTAATGAAAATGCAAACACTGACACACACAACTAAAAGTTGATTTTGAATCTGCCCCTATTTGGAACTGATCTCAAACCAATGTTCACTCTCGGATATCTCTTTCTGAATTCATATACTTCAGGTGAAGACGCTTATAGGAAAATTATCGAAGAAGGAAGGAACATCAAAGGCTCACCATGGTACTTTTGATGAAGACGATGAGAAACAAATGAAGCAGAAGGTTAAATGGGATGACCGAGATTCATTTCATGTGATTCCTATGATTTACCGGTAACTTACTGCATCAAAGATCAAACTTTTGTGTTTTTTATCATAAAATGCTGAAGTGAAATAAGGCTTTTTGTGTCTGTGTGTGTGTATTTTGTTCTAGAGAAATGCAAGTTCAAGCAGAGCGTGGAGAAGAATTAGAGATGGATTGGCACTCAAAACTTAATTATTATCAAAGCAAATACCCTCAAGAAGCTGCAGAGTTCAAAGTTCTCCTCTCTGGTGGAATGCTTCCGGGGTGGGAAAATGCATTACCAGTAATGTCTTCATGCCTGCAGAGAGATTCTTTGTTTATAATTTCTTCACTCTTTTAAACTGCTAAGTTATTATTATTCCATATGCTTAAACATGTTGAAACTGATCCTTGTAAAGACTGTAATTTTAACAGAAGTGGTCTACATCTGATCCGGTGGATGCCACTCGAGGATACTCGGAGAAATGTTTAAACCAGCTTGCCAAGGTGCTTCCAGGCCTAATTGGAGGAAGTGCAGATCTCGCTTCCTCTAACAAAGTTTATTTACACGACTATGAAGATTTTCAGCAACCTGATTCTCCTTGGGGACGGAACATTCGGTATGGTGTTCGTGAGCATGCTATGGCTGGGATATCAAATGGCATCGCTTTGCACGGTGGTGGTTTAATACCCTTTGCAGCAACTTTTCTCATTTTCTCTGATTACATGAAGAACTCCATCCGGCTATCTGCTTTAAGCAATGCTGGGGTCCTCTACGTTATGACTCACGACTCGATCGGTTTAGGAGAAGATGGGCCGACTCACCAACCGGTCGAGCAACTTGCTGGTCTTCGAGCTGTGCCTCACCTGATTGTTTTCCGACCTGCTGACGGCAATGAGACTGCAGGAGCCTACAAAGTGGCTGTTGCACACCGGAATGGGCCCAGCCTTGTTGCTCTATCAAGACAGAAAGTCGCGGCACATGTGGAGGGAACATCGGAAGATGCAGTCGAAAGAGGTGGTTATGTCATCAGTGATAATTCGGGTGAAGATTTACCTGATATTATACTGATTGGCACTGGATCAGAGCTGTGTCTATGTGAAGCTAGTGCAGGAGTTATGAGGAAAGAAGGGAGAAGAGTGAGGGTGGTATCACTGGTTTGTTGGAGGCTTTTTGACAGGCAGCCAAATGAGTACAAAGAGGAAGTGTTGCCATCTAGAGTGATGAAGCGAGTTAGTGTTGAAGCTGGCTCGCCGATTGGCTGGAGGGAATACGTTGGACCGGAAGGGTTTGTTCTCGGCGTCGAAGATTTCGGGGCTAGTGGAGCATATTTGGATACATTTAAGAAATTTGGTTTTACAGAAGAAAATATTACTAGGATTGCGAGGAATCTGCTCTCTAAGTGAAGACTGCTTCAAAATATACAACTCTTGCTGTATGTTAGGTAATGTGGATGAGTGATTCCTCTCTAGTGAAGACTGCTTCAAATTTTAAACTCTTGCTGTATGTTAGGTATTGTGGATGAGACAATCAAGATTTAAAATCTTGTTTTCCACTATAGAGTGAATCAAAGTCGTGTCCAATACTACGTAGTCATTTTACACACACTACACCACATATGCAGTGTTAAAAAATAATGTCTGCGCGGAAATTATGATTACATAATGAATATGGGAGCAATTTGGCTACAGTGACACGTTTAATGATAGAGTCAACTACGGATGTGATATGTGTCAATACATGATTGAACAATTTCAGAAAGAGAAAAAAAACCAACATCCAATCCCATCCTGCCACCTCATCTTGTTAACTTTCTCGATTGATGAGCGTTATTCATCTGGGAGTGGACCATTGTAGGAGAAGATTTTGTGCAGGTTTAAATGATGCGAGTTCAATATTTTGTTATCTGTACTGCGTGCAATCGCACCTATAGAAAGACATAACACTTGGATCAAAAGTTTATTTGTAATTAATTTGCCAGAAGCCTTCCAATTTTAAAGCCATAACCTAAGAAATAAGAGACAACCAATAGCCACATAAATTTATTTGTCTTCATGTTTGAACTTCCTTCATTTCAAAATTAAGACATTCGTTTTTTCAACAGAAAAGGCAAGGGGAGGGGAGGGAGCAACGAGGTGGAAGACTGGAGTGGGAGATAACACAGGTGAAAGATGAACATTGAAGCGCAAGTATCTTTACAAGTAAAATGGATAAAGAATTTTTTGCTTAAAAATAGGTTTTCATACAGCTAATGATTGACATACTGTGCTTACATTTGTCAATATAACTTGATAGAGTTCTGATAATTACATAAAGTCTCATTTTCTTGCGTACGTTGTCACGATTAATTTAATTTAATTAAATTTAAATTAATGATATTATAAAATTTGAAAAGCCATGCATTTATCCCCTTTTTTTTTTCTTTTTCTTTTTTTTTTTTAAGAGGAAGTTAATCCATTTTATATTATTATATCAGGCTGATATCTGGCTGCAGATGAAGGATGGATTAGAATGTGGGTGGACTTGATGTTATTTAGCGTTATTAATTCCAATTATAAGTTAATTTGAATTCCATACTCAATGATGCATTTCATTATTTACAATAATTTAGCATTTATTTTCACGGATATACTCCATTTTAAATTAAGTGCTTGTTTGGTATAATTTTTAAGCTAATTAAAATCAATTTTTTGACCGTTACTTTACTATCTCACCGTCATTTTTAAATTATTCTCTCACAGGTAGGACCCATTTTATCTCTAACAGTAAAAAAATCAATTATCAAAATTCATACCAAACAAGTTCTAATTAATGTTCACGCATATTCAAATATTATTTTTTGTATTAAATCACTTCATAATAACATGCAACTATTGACAATCTATAATATATTAAAAATTACATTAAGTGAAAATCATTTTTTGGACGATTCTAGCCCTACTATGATTGAATTATTTTAACAATAACTTATTTTTCATTTTTCAATATGTTTTTAATTTATTTAACAATTTAATTACCATCAATATACATATATATTTGACGGATTCATTTCATTAATGTATGAATTTTCTATTATTAATTCTCAATTAATTAACATTTCCATTCATTTAAGGGAAAATTGTAGCCGAGGTACTAAACATTTCGTTTATTAGCAGACTTTGTCCAAACCTTTAATTTGTGCCACCGGAGATACCAAACCTTTAAAAAATGTGTGGGGCCAGTCCAAAATGACGGTTTCCGTCTGTTTGACCGCCAAAACCGTCAGTTGACCCCTTTAATGATAATTTCAAGAATTTTACCCAAATAAGTGAAGGGCAACATGGTCATTATACACATTTCTCTCCTCAACATCAAACACGTCCGTTGCAACTTCCTTCCACTCACCATCCACTATGGAACCTGCAAAAATCCACGAAGAAGACGAAACGGACTTCGAAGAAGACGAACATCCAGTGGAAATTGCAGCCCACATTCGAGGCTCTCTTCCCCAACCCGTGTATGGTAAGTGTCTTCCCTTGTTTTTGGTTTACGGTGTGAAGTTATATGATTATGAAGTTCCCCTGTTCGATTGTGTTCACATACTGGGAAATTCAAAAATTTCAAGTGATTTGGTGTATTAGAGCGTAATGCTTGTGTAGTATCTTTTCTGCACATGATCGTTGCTTGAATTGAAAAGGGCTAGGGCTTAACTTCCTTTTTTTCGGTGTTTTTTCAGGGGAAAATTCAAAGTACTTCAGCATACGGCTTCATCATGGTGGAATTTTATTGCAGAAGATGAGAAATTTTGTGTATGAGCATAGGAAAATAAGTTATATAGACTATATCGACCATGATTTCTTCAATAGATTTCTTTTGGACAATGCCGTGAAGATGTTAGGATATTCTGATAGAATTAGATATCTGTACAAGATGGAAAAGAAAAGAATGAGTGAAGGTTCATTTTGGTTGGTTAAAGATTCAGATTTCATGAATTTAGTGAAGTGGCTTGGTGATAATAGGACATCTGAACTGTATTGCTTGCCTGTAGTTGAGATTTTGGAGTTGCCTTGGTATGAAATAGAACAGAAGGATGTTCGAGTGTTTGATTGTGAGACTGGTGAGGAGTTGGTGAAGGTTCAAAAGTCTGGTGAAGCATTGAATGAGCAGCAACCATGTTATGCAATTGAGATTTTTGATGAATCAGTAGAAGGTGATGACGTGTATGTAGTTGATGAAGTGGATGACATGGAAGCAGATGAAGAGGATGTTTATACAGTGCATGGAACAGAGCATGAGTATACAGAGGTTGATTTTATAGGGGCTGAAGTTGACTCACATGAATCAGAAGTGCATGCTGCTGAACCAGAGAAACCACATGATGTTGAACCACAATTGAGGTTTGAACATGAGCTGCATGACGCTGAACCACAGCAGGAGCTGCATGCTGCTGAACAAGAGGTGCAGGCTGCTGAACATGATGTCGAAGCAGAGTTGCAGCCTGCTGAAATTGATGTGCATGCTTCTGGACCACAGCAGCAGGCTCAGCAGGAGCTGCATGCTGCTGAACAAGAGGCGCAAGCTGCTGAACATGAGTTGCATGATGTCGAACCAGAGGTGCAGGCTGCTGAAACTGATATGGAGTTTGGTGAAGGTCCTAAGCTGGATGATGAATATGAGGAGGGTATTTTGGGAGAGGAATTCACTGATTCGGAGTACGAGCAGGAAGAAAATGTTGCTGTGGAGGATAATGATGAAAACACATATTTCAGGTTGAGTGAAGGTTTTGACATTGGTGCAAGTGGTGAGCAGGAAGGTGTAAGAGATGTGCAGGAAGGGGAGGCAGCTGCTGGGGAAGAATTTGGAACAGAATACGAAGACTCCAGTGAGTATAGAAGCTTACCCGGTGATACCGAGGCTGAGGGATTATCTGCCAGAAGGAAGAATGTGTGCTGGTTTAACCCTGCAACTGATATGGAAGATCTACAGTTCAAGCTAGGTAATGTCCACTGTTCTGTGTAATTCAGTTCTGGTTTAATTCATTTGGATGATAATGAATTCTGGTTTAATTCATTTCTGCCAGGGATGAAATTCGACAACGTCAAGATTCTAAGGAATGCAGTAGTTCAATACTCAGTCAAAAATTCCAGGCAACTGAGATACGTGAAAAATATGAGGACACAGTTGAGAGTTCGGTGTCAAGATAATTGTCCTTGGGTTTTGTATGCGTACCAACAACCTGACAAGAGTCTTAGAATTAACACATTTGTAGATGAGCACACATGTACCATGGTGTGGCAAAATAGAAGGGTTAATTCAGGTTTTCTGGCAAAGAAGTACGTGAGAAAATTTAGGTTTGATCCAAACATTCCAATGAGTAGTTTTATGGAGACTGTGAAAGAGGACTACATGTATGAGATTTCAAAGCATCAGTTCTACAGGACAAGATCGAAATGTGCAGAAGTTATTAATGGGATTGTAGCTGAGTAGTACAAAATTTTATGGGATTACGGTGAGGAATTGAAGAGAACAAATCCAGGCAGTACAGTCCACATCGAAGGTTCGGGACATACTTTTAAGAGATTGTACATCTGCATAGGGGCTTGTAAGGAAGGGTTTAAGGCTGGGTGCAGGCCAGTTGTTGGGTTGGATGGATGCTTCCTAAAATCTGCAGATGGTGGACAGTTGTTGGCATTGATAGTGAGAATTGTATGTTCCCGTTAGCATGGGCAGTTGTGGATGCAGAGAACAAAACAAACTGGCAATGGTTTATAGAATTGTTGGTTGGTGACATAGGGATGCACAACCCTCGAGCTTGGACATTCATTTCCGACAAACAAAAGGGTTTGGTGGATTCCATAAGTCAATACTGTGAAGGAGCGGAGCATGGGTGTTGTGCTAGACATCTTTATAGCAATTTCACCTTGGCACACAAAGGTCTGGCACTTAAGAACCTATTTTGGATTGCAGCATGGGCAACAACAGTGCCGGAGTGGAAGAGTGCAATGAATGAGTTAAAAGACATAAGTGAAGAGGCTTACAACTGGTTCCTTGAAAAACCTCCTTCCCAGTGGACCAGATCCCATTTTGAAGAGCATTCAAGATGTGATATTCTTCTTAATAATTTGTGTGAGGCATTCAACTCTTCCATTGTTGTTGCCAGAGACAGGCCCATCATCTTCATGCTAGAGAAAATTCGGCATCAGCAAATAATAAGGATGAATGTAAAAAGGGAAGCGGCAGAGAGGTGGGATCATGCATTCGGGCCAAGAATTGTGAAAATCATTGAGAAGGCTAAGTCTGAGGCAAGGTACTTGAAGGCAGACTATGCAGGCAACCAGAAATTTGAGATAAGCAGCAGAGACGGTTTGAGGTGGAGCGTTGTCTTGACAGAACATGCATGTGCTTGCAGAAAATGGCAGCTCACTGGAATATCATGTCCCCATGCAATATCAGGCATGCTTTCAAGGGATATTGACATATATGAGTACATCGACCCATGGTATAGCAAGGAGACATACCTGAAATGTTACTCCCCAGTGATCCACCCGATGTTAGGGCCTGAACTGTGGCCAGAATTGGGAAAGCATCCTCTCACTCAACCTCAGAAGAGAAAACAGGCTGGCAGACCCAAAAAATTGAGGAAGAGGTCACAGGCAGAGCCACCTACAAGCGTGAAGATGGAAAGAACTGGCATGAAGATGACGTGTAAACGCTGTGGAGGGTCTGGACATAACAAAAGAAGCTATAAGGAGGCACTGCCTGATGAAGATAGTTCACAGCAGCAGTTTCAACCAACCACACAAGAAGATACACATACCAGATCAACAAAGGGGAAGAGAAAAGCACATTCAACACAAACCTCCAAGTCACAGACAAAGAAGTCCAAGCATAGACGATCGCAATCTTGAACATCACGTGGTTTCTCTTGTATAGTTACCTTTTTGGGGAAATGCTGTGGTTTTTTGTAAACTGAACTGGAAATATATGCTTCCAATGCTGTTTATTTTGTAGATGTAACTGTAATTTTTGATGAAATTATTCAATGTGATGATAATGTTGATGTCGAATATCTTGCATTATATTTCTGCTTTTCGCCGTTGGTTTCTGAAATTGTATTCGTAAGATCTGATGTGCAGGCGACTATGAAATATATGAGAATGTTTAATACTTCCTATGAACGTATTATCAAACGTTTGGTACCTTTACTGCAATGTTTTTAAAGATTTGGTACTCTGTCTGAAATCATTAGAAAAGGTTTGGTACTGATTTTGCGAATCGTTATAAAGTTTGGTACCTATGGTGCACCTTCTTCAGATAAGTTTCAAGTGTAGTCTGCTCGTTTAAGCCCTGTTTGATTCCCATTTTCTTCCTACTAATGCATTTTGCATGTCAAATCATGGTGGGCCCGTCTGCATGGCTATCATTTCAAATGTATATAATTACCACACCTTTCCCGTTTTAGTCTCATTGAATTGGACAAAATGTAGGAAAGATTCCAATAGCCTTTCAATATTCAAAGGGCATATGTGGGAAAATGGGGGTAAAAACTACAGTAAATGGGACTGCACTGGAGGACCCATGGTGTTAGAATAACGTTCGATTTTCTCATTTTAGTCGGGCAAAAATGTGGAACAAACACACGCTTAATTTCACATTTGACATAGAGGCCAGGAAAATATCGTTAAATTTCAAGTAAAAAGGTACAACACAAATTTTCCTTTTTTTACATATGCATTTTACAACATCTAGCACATGGCTCCATTTCGAAACCCTAAGCTCAAATTTTTGGAACAAAAACTAAAATCCTACAATCTGACCCTACATACCTAGGAACAAACCCATTTTGCAAACGCTCCACACACAAAGCCGAAGAGCCAGATCTTCCACACATTTGGTCTTGTTGCTTGAAGGGTGTCGATTTCAGCTTCCATTTCCCTCCTAGCTCGTAATAGACCAGGAATCAGTTCCTTCGATCTCTCACATATCGGAGGGTCACACCACATAAAGAAGGTGCATCCACCCACATCTTGGCTTCGAGGACAAGTGAGAAATCTTCTTCCCGGGTTCAAGTTCGTCCACGAGGACTTCATCTGCACTGGGGAGCCACATCTGCATACATTCCCCTCCATCTTCTTGTCGACTCTTTTGACTACCTGTGAGAGAGAAGGTAGGTAATATATAGTGATAAAGAAATGGAGGGAAATAAACAGTGAAGTTTGATGTTGAGGAGGGAAATGTGCGTAATGACCATGTCGCCCTTCACTTATTTGGGGAAAATTCTTGAAATTATCATTAAAGGGGTCAACTAACGGTTTTGGCGGTCAAACAGACGGAAACCGTCATTTTGGACTGGCCCCACATATTTTTTAAAGGTTTGGTATCTCCGGTGGCACAAACTAAAGGTTTGGGCAAAGTCTGCTAATAAACGAAAGATTTGGTACATCGGCTGCAATTTTCCCTTCATTTAATTAATATTTACATTCATTTATACATTTCATTATTATTAATTCTAATTATTAGTTAATTTGAATTCCACATTCAAGAATACATTTCATTATTTACAATAGTTTAACATTTATTGTCACGTATATATTTTTTCATATTAATTTTAATTAATTAACATTCACACGTATTTAAATACTATTTTACAACGCTTCATTCTTTTAATGTTGACTGATGGTAGATAAACAGGAGAGTTAATTGTTCGAATGGTTAGTGAACTTAGGTCTATGTCTTATATTGGTCACTGAAATTTAAAATGTTGAGTTTTGACCATCAAATTTTGAAAAATATTGTACATTACTTACTGAAAATTCGATATTTTTCAAAATTCAATATTTATATTAGTGAGTAATATACGACATTTTTCAAAGTTCAATGGCCAAAACTCGACATTTTAATCTTTGGTGAACAATCGAAAATATGGATCTAAGTTTAGTAATCAAAATTCGACATTTTAAATTTCAGTGACCAATTAAAAACATGAACCTAAGTTTAATGACCATTGGAGCAATTAATTCTAAACAGGGCTTAATTGACAATTAGAAAATGCGTGCCTTCCCATAAACGGTGGGTGGTGCACTAGTTTGCAGCGGTCCGTCCATCGAAAATATGGATCTAAGTTTAGTAATCAAAATTCGACATTTTAAATTTCAGTGATCAATTAAAAACATGAACCTAAGTTTAATGACCATTGGAGCAATTAATTCTAAACAGGGCTTAATCGACAATTAGAAAATGCGTGCCTTCCCATAAACGGTGGGCGGTGCACTAGTTTGCAGCGGTCCGTCCATCGAAGCTGGTTTAGCGTTAAAATGCGCTCCAGTCAACAACGCTATCCTTCACGTTGCGCTAGCTGGACCGGCGTATGTTAAGGAAACTAACTTCAAATGATCTATCTTGCGCGTCGTTGAATTTGCTCCAAATCAAAACCTAGTCAGTACCCCTTCAAGATCTTCAATCCAGAGGTCCCAGTTTCTCATAAGTCATACCCGATATCTGGTGCTTTTCACTCCAATCTTTCTCGATAAAATTGAAGCTACAGTTTTTTCTGCCTTTATACTCAACTTTCATTTCTGCCTTTTGAATTGTTCTTAGTTTTCTTTGGTTTTGTTAGGCAATTATAATAATCATTGTGGTTCCATTTCGCAGGAGACTCGTGAAAATTTGAGCTATAGTTTTTATTCATGGTCGTTTTCAATTTTAATAGTGCAATGCAGTAGCCTTGGATTTGTTTATGTGTACTTCAATTACAAGGGATCGAGTCTGGGTGAATTTTTGGTGGTATAATGAAGGATGTGGAAATACCGAAGTGGCTTAACGGATTGGCAATGGCACCTGAATTCCGCCCAACGGACACGGAATTTGCAGACCCAATTGCGTATATATCCAAAATAGAGAAACAAGCTAGTGCTTTTGGTATATGTAAAATAATTCCGCCATTGCCCAAACCTTCTAAAAAGTATGTTCTTTTTAATTTGAATAAATCCCTTTCCAAGTGCTCTGAATTGGGTTCGGATCTAAATCTCATGTCAAAAACGGATAATGCTGATAGGATAAAGTATAATGGTGGGGTGAGTAGGGCGGTTTTCACTACTAGGCACCAAGAATTGGGTAGTGAGAAAGGGAGAAAGGAGAAGGGGGTGGGATGTCAGGTATCCGGAGCTCAAAAGCAAGTTTGGCAAAGTGGGGAGGTTTATACATTGGAGCAGTTTGAAGCAAAGTCGAAGAATTTTGCTAAGGGTCAGTTTGGCATGGTGAAAGAGGTGAATCCATTAATTGTAGAGGCAATGTTCTGGAGAGTGGCTTCTGGTGAGAAGCCAGTTTATGTTGAGTATGCAAATGATGTGCCTGGTTCAGGGTTTGGTGAGCCAGTAGGGTCACTGCGGCATTTTTATAGACATAAGAGGAGGAGGAGGAAGAGAAAGTCCTTCAATCGGAATAATTTAGGAAGCTCTGATAGCAAGGATGATCAAGTAGATGCAGTGAACAGTGGTAGTTTAGATAAAGTTTCAGGCAGGCAGAAAGATTTTGGTTTATGTAAAGAGACAGCGTCAAATTCATTACCATCTATGCAGTTGCATCAAGCTGCATCTTTTTCTGGGGATAGGGATTTAGACTGTACGAGTGAGTTGGAAGGTACTGCTGGTTGGAAGCTTTCAAATAGTCCTTGGAATTTACAAGTAATAGCACGATCAGCTGGATCATTGACACGTTTTATGCCAGATGATATCCCTGGCGTTACTTCTCCCATGGTTTATGTGGGAATGCTGTTCAGCTGGTTTGCTTGGCATGTTGAAGATCATGAGCTTCACAGCTTGAACTTCCTTCACATGGGCGCTCCAAAGACTTGGTATGCAGTGCCAGGAGATTATGCATTCAACTTTGAAGAAGTCATTCGTCTTTATGGTTATGGAGGAAAAACTGACCGTTTAGGTATGTGCGTGCTTTTAAGTGAATATTTGATATACATTTTAAAAACGTGATGATATGGATGACACTGTCAAATTTTCCTATGATTGCAATGTCACAGCTAATTCTTCTAGTTTTTTCCTCTTAAAACGTCCCTTTTCATGCCTGCTTGAAACTCTATGTAGTTGTTGATTATTCTGTACCACACTAAGAAGAATATAATTCCCACTGCTGTAGTTGGCTTACACTGTTATTGCTACAAAAGCATGATCTTGAGCTAGAAGTTGCAAGCTTTTGCGGTTATAGAATTCAGTATTTGCTGTTATTGGACATTCTTTTCATGAGCTATTATCAAAATGGATAGTAACTGGATAGGAAGTATCTCTTTGCTGCAGAGGGTCCCGGACAAAACTAATCCTCTCTGTTTGTGACTCCTAACCTGCGATGTTCACCTATTACTTTTATTCTTTTGATTTTTGGTAAATACTGTTGCAGTAGCATTTTTTATAGAATGTGATCTACCATTAGCTTCTTTTACATGTCTAGTTGGGTATGCTGGGGTTATGATCAAATTTGAAGCAAATAGAATGTGACTACATCCACTTTTGAGTTGTCAATCCTTGATTGCTTGTAGCAGACAAAACAACCTTCTTCGTACTTGGTTAGGGGTGGGCGGGTGAGGGAGAATACAAAAGTACCGCTGTATGGCATCGATATTTTCTAATATTATTTAAAGCTCCAGATGGTTGTACGTGGTGGTGGATTTCCTTTTAAATCTTTATAAGGTATGAAGTCTTGGAAAATGGATATGTCGCTCATGCTTTAGAGTTTCTAGACTTTTCAACATTTTCCTCTTGAAAAAACAATTATTTTTCATGGAATTTGGTGAATGCTATTTGTCATTACGGACCTTCAACTTTATTTGCTGTGCACAGTAGAATCTAGTTGTAACTTTGAATACTCCGAGACTTGTGCATTATTTTCTTCACTTAGATTCAATTCTTTTGTGATTTCCAGCTGCTCTCTCTCTCTTGGGTGAGAAGACAACTGTTTTGTCTCCTGAAGTCATTGTTGCATCAAACATCCCATGTTGCAGGTGTGATTTTTTTAATCGATTCTTATCTGCATTTTCTTTCTGTTTTCTATTTGTTGAATAGGAGTATTTATTTCCATCAATTTTGTTGGTTATGTGGCATTCTTGTTGATATGAGACAAGGCTTACATATTTGTTAAGTGTTCTGCTAAAGTGGACATGGTTATTATTGTTAGGTTGGTGCAGTACCCTGGAGAATTTGTTGTGACTTTTCCGAGGGCTTACCACATAGGATTCAGCCATGGTAATTGCTTTATATTTCGTATACTTGTTGGAGTCATTTTCTGATCATCTAAATTGTGACATCTGTTTCCTTTTACATAATCTTGAACCCTAAATCTTTTACCTGTTGTTGGGTACCTTGAAGACCTGGAATAAGGTCTGAGCTTATCTTTTTTACAAATTCACAATCTTTCAATATCTTTGTGTGTTACAGTTCAAGAATTTAACTTTTCAAATGACAACAGGTTTTTATCTTGTTCTTTTAATCCCCATACTGATTCCATCCACCCTTTTTCTAAATTGCCTTGTCCTTGTTTCAATTGTCTACATCCACCCCTCTCAGACAGATTGTTCTTTTTTTGTTAGACACTCATGTTTTTGTAAACAAATGTGATGCGTGTTGAGCCCTATATCTTTAGCTCCAAGGTGGAGTAATTCCTTGAGCTTCTGGCAAATAGCTTAACATATTCTTGGTCTGGAATTGCTAGCTTAGGCCAATGCCATGTTTGATCTTATCAAAACCGAATAGTTTTGTTTTCCTTTCATATATGCATGTTTGATCGAGGTTTTACTAACGACTCTCTTGTGAAAATTAGGTTTCAATTGTGGAGAAGCTGCTAATTTTGGCACGCCAGAATGGCTTGCGATAGCTAAGGAAGCTGCTGTGCGTAGAGCTGCCATGAATTATCTACCCATGCTTTCTCATCAGCAACTCTTATACTTGTTGACAATGTCTTTCATTTCAAGGTCAGGTTTCTAGCTTTTACTGTTACTTTAGACCAATATGTTGGTGTAAGATTCCTTGAAGTATACCTTAGGGATCCTCAACTACTTGCTAAGCTGTAGTGGTAACTATTGGCACCAGATTTACTGCTGGGACTGATTCAATCTTGAACAAAAGATGTTAATGGTCTTTAAATTTCTTCTGGTTCCTCGTAAGCTGAGTCATGGTTATTTGGCTTCTGTTGTTTATTGGTCGATTCAAGTCTCTTGAATAATAAACTTGTGGGATATAAGCACTGATAGTCAACCACCTATAGGACTGGTCACTTAGGTACTGAACTTTTTTTTTTCCAAGTTGGTCATTGATCTTCTATTTGTTTCATTTAAGGCACTCCGTCCTGCTTCATCAATAAATTTGCTGTCATGGCTAATAGAAATGATGATGTGACATGGAAAATTCATTAATCCATTATTTCTATCATATAGCTAGATAAAAAATGCACACTGTTGGATAAGTTGGGCTTCCGAAATGCACTTTTATAAAGAAACAAAAAACTTAAAAAGAAAAAAAGAAAGCATGACTGGTCTGCAAAACTCATTTTTGCCTAATTTGATAAATAAAATTAATGCTTTTTTTTTTTCCCATGTCACATTGTCTTTTCTATTAGCCACGCCAGCATTTGCGTTAATTTATTGTATGATGTTAAACAGAGTGCTTTAAACTGTAACAAAATAAAATCTCAGCAACTAACTTGGCAAGAAAAAACAGTTCAGTTAGCACAGTGAATGATTCTTTAAGTCAGATGAGTAACAATGTCTTTTTACCCGCAAACATATTGTTGCACAGCCAATTAACAACAGAGGCTATTTATTGGTGGTCCACTGTAATGTAGCATGGACAGTCATTCTGTATGAAGATATCAATAGAAGTATGCCCTTGGGTGTCTTTCCTAATCTCTTCATGGGCAAATTCTTGGTTTATTTATTTATTTTATCTTATTCTTGTCCGGAGATTTCAGTTTCCTATCAATTGAAGTTCCATGATTAAAAAGCTGAGATGGAAACTGTAGGTAAAAATTGGCTTGGACAGTGATTCAAGACTACTTTTTCATTCTTTTGTGGTAGTGTTCCATGATTGGAAGGAAACCTGTTAGTCGCAGTATCAGGGCATAAAAGTTGATTATTCAAACCTGTGGTCACAAAGGAAGCTTAGAATTCTTTTCTTGAATCAATTTTGAAGAGAGAGATGTTTGATTAATAAGCATCATATATAAGGGGAAGATGAGTCAAATACTTTAGTAAAATTTTGGAAATATGTAATGTGCAATGTGCATTTTATGATATGTGTAGCTGTATGTCGTGAGACCAGCTTTCTACTGAATTGTAGTTGGGGAAAAGATGCTTTCTTTATTTGACATAGTATTAGACTTGTAAAAATTGATTTATTTTTTTCTACCAGTCCTAGACAAGAAATGGTAGACTTACCTAAAAGCCTTTTGTTGATATGACATAATCTTATAACCATCAAAATTTCACATAATAGGTAATTAGACATTTAATATTTTTTGTTCAGATGTGTCAGTTTATTAGTTTCATAATAGGCTGAAATCTCATGTTTGATCTATGATCAATAAAATTTTTAAAACTTCTCACTTAACATTATTTTTATGCCGTCAGCTTGCTGTTTTTTCCTTTTATGATTACAATAGAAGGTCTAAGATGCTTCTGTTGTACCAATCATCCAAAATTTTTAGAGTGAAATCTATTGAATTTCAGAATACCAAGATCCTTACTACCAGGGGTGCGAAGCTCACGTTGTAGAGATCGTCAGAAGGAAGAAAGAGAATTGTTAGTAAAGAAAGCCTTTATCCAAGATATCTTGAATGAAAACAATCTCTTGACTATTCTTCTTCGGAGAAATCCCTTGTACCATGTAGTATTATGGGACCTGGAATTGTTGCCATCTTCAAGTAAAGAATCTGAATTCTGCAATGGTGCAGATGCTGCATTATTAACATCAAGTGAAAAAGCTTGTCCTGAGGACAATGATAATCAGGATCATTTCAGCCAGTTGAGTAGATGTATAAATGCAGTTGGTTTTGACCTAGATGATGATGACTTGGCATATGATTTTCATATTGATTCTGGAACTTTACCCTGTGTTGCTTGTGGTATTCTTGGTTTTCCCTTTATGGCTGTTGTACAACCATCTGAGGAAGCATCAAAGACTCTTCTGCTTGAGGATCGTCATACCATTCAAGATCTAGAAGTTTTCAGACCAGTTGAATCTCATTCCCTTTCTGACCTCGATCACATGGTTGAGGCCTCTATTCCAGGTACAAGGTCCAAAGACATGATATTTGCTGTGCTATGCTTTCATGACGTTCACTTTGTTTTTCTTGTTTCTTAAATTATCAGTGGTAATTTAGTAATTTCTGCCAAGTAACACTTAAAAATTAGAAATGGTACATCAAATTAAATAATTTTCACATGCTTCTATAACAGCAATGTTAAAACACCCAAGTGTCTGATTTGATTCACCCAGAATATTGGTTTGTACGAATTTACTAACTTTTGCTTGATCTGTAATAAGCTCTAGGAAAATGATGTTTTGATATGTGGCTGCTGCCTGCTATTTCTCGTGCTAGGTGTTTACTTCTGTTGATAAAATATACTTCATGTTTTCTTTATTGTATCAACTGCAAATAGAAAGAGGCCTGCTTGTGGTATTGTTGTTCATCGTCATACAACGTGAAGTGTCTGTAAATTCATACTTCATCTGTGATGACTCATCTATTATTGGTTCCCTTTTTACTGTTCGTGCAGAAGGTTTTTGTGTAAATTCTCTTGTATGTATCTAGATTATCAGACATTATTGAAAACTCATTACATGTTGAGAACCCTAGATCAAATCTGAGGGATCTAACCTATCCGAGTGGATCATCTTCAGTGGTTGAATCAAGCCAACCTACACATTCACCAATTGAGCAATCTCCTATCTCTGACCATCCATCGTCTCCCAAGTCTGATTCAGCTTCCTCAAAAGTTAAGACTGCGATGGGATGGAACATTTCTGGTGCATTTGAAAAACCACGACTGTTCTGCCTGGAGCATGCAATTGAAATTGAAGGGCTGTTGAGTACAAAAGGTGGAGCCAAGGTTCTCGTGATTTGTCATTCAGGTAACAGTCAGCTTACTGTCTTGTCCATCAGAATGATAAATGAAAAGTTAAAAAAAAAAAATTATCTTACCTTAAATTTTCAGCACTTCTGCCCCGATTATTTTCTTTGACTTCTGCTGAACTTGGTTGGAAACCAGAAGAATGCATGGAACCATCAGAAATTGTGTTTAATTGTCGTGAAGTCTCACAACAATGATACTTGAACTTCATGCGATCAAATTTAATTAAAATAAAGAAGTTATATGTTGCGTTGTTCCATTCCTTTTTAATATTTTTTGCAACTTAATTGTACTATGATCCACTTTTTCTGATTTTTTTTTTTTTTTCCTCATATGGGTAGACTTCCAAAAAATAAAGGGACATGCTGCAGCCACAGCAGAAGAGATTTTTGTACCTTTTAATTATAATGAAATTCCCCTGGATAGGGCATCACAGGAAGATCTATACTTGGTTGATATTGCAATTGACAGAGAAGAACAAACTGGATGCCTAGAAGACTGGACTTCACAAATGAGTATCAATTTACAGCACTGTGTGAAGGTGAAAAAGAATTTCCCATCCAAGAATGTTAAGCATCTATTGACTTTGGGTGGGTTGTTCTCCGATGCAACTACCAATCTGAATTCTTCCAGTTCCTATTGGAAATCCAGAAAATTACGCACAAAGCGTCATTTAAAACACCCATTGCAAAGTATATCTACTGATGGCCTTAAGATCACGAAAGACGAGGAGGATTCGAGATCAAAGTTAGAGCATCAAACTGCTAGGAAAGAGGTTAAAGTCATCCAATATTCAAGAAGAAAATTCAAATCTCGTAGTTCTGCAGGAGTAAATGAGGCCCCTAAAGACTCAAATGACCATGTTCTACAAAATGTTCAGGCTGTTGATGATGTAGATCAAGAGAAAGAAGCTAAAAGCACTACTGAAAGTATTATTGTCGGAGTTGCTTTAGCTTCTGGGGGACAATCTGAATGTGAACGCATAAAGTTTTCACAAACAGGAGGCTGTGATGAGAACTTTCTTCCATTGCAATGTGCAAATTCATTTACTTCTGCCACACCAGTTGTCGAAAATGTTGCAGCACAAGCTATGATTTGCTCGTCAGATGGATTGATGGTGAAGGAAAATGTTCGTGGTTCAACATGGTGTGATCCCAAGGTGCAGCATGAAATCAAGGTAGAAGGAAACTTTGAGGAAAACAGGAGATGTTATTTAGATAATTCTGATAGTGCACCTCCAGCTGAAGCTGGGGGATGCCATTCTGGAAAATTTTCTGGTTCTTCTGCAGTTTCTTCTCAAAGCAACAGCAAAATGGAAAATGCGAGGAAGAAACATGTGATGAAGGAAACTGACAGTGAGGCATCGGATACCTTGAGTTGCAAGGGGCACAACAAAGTTCAGACAGACACAGATAATCAAGACAAAGCTGTTCCCGTTGGACAGCATGAAATTCTGACAGGCGGAGATAATCAAGAGAAAGCTGTTTCCGGGGGTCAGCAAGAAATTCAGAGAGACAGAGATGATCAAAGCACAGATTTTTCTATAGGTACTGGACTAGTAGAAGAATATACTTCCACCTTGGTTGAAGAACTCCATGTAGCAAGTAATATACCTGCTTCCATGGAATCTTGTGGCGATAACAGCAGTGATGTCTCTTTCCCTAAGCAGAGACAGCCAAATTATTCCAACTCTACTGCCGTGCAATCTGAACCAATTTTGGAATGCGGAAGAAAGAGAAAACGAGAAGTAGACCTGCTAACACAAGATCAATTGCATGTTGGCGGCTTCATTGTAAGTCCTTGTGAAAGTTTGAGGCCAAGGGGCAGAAAAGATGCATCTGTCAGTGGAACTGACTGTAAGAACCCTGTCGAGGAGAAGCTGCCGGTGAAGAGGGTGAGGAACGCTTCAGCCGATTCTATACCTCACAAGGATAAGAAAGAAAATGAAACAAGACCCCACAAGTGTGACTTAGAAGGCTGTCGAATGAGTTTCAAGACGAAGGCAGAGCTTCTCCTTCACAAACGTAATCAGTGCCCAGTCAATGGGTGCAGGAAGAAACTCAGCTCCCACAAATACGCAGTAATGCACCAGCGTGTTCATGATGATGATCGGCCCCTCAAGTGTCCATGGAAGGGTTGCACTATGTCATTTAAGTGGGCTTGGGCGAGGACTGAACATATACGAGTGCACACTGGGGAGCGTCCGTATGTGTGCAAGGTCAAGGATTGTGGCCTTACTTTTAGATTCGTGTCTGATTTTAGCAGGCATAGACGGAAAACTGGACATCATGTGAAGGTAAGTTAGGTTTGTGATTATCAGTACCAAAATGTGGAATTCTTGAGAAAAGCGAAGCAACTCAAGAATCATGTAAAACTAGCATGCCCTGATCCTTTCAGTGTAGGCTAGGAAATTGACTGATCTCTGTTGTGGGTAGGCATTTTACAGTTAGAAAATGATTGTTTAGTTGTTTAGTTGGTAGTTGGGATAAGTGAAGTTGAAGTTGCTACTTTTTCATTAGCATGGAGGAATTGGATCTTGACACCTGATTGCTTAGCATGGTCCACGATCTTGGTGATATTTCATGTCAAGTAGAATGCACTAGAAACAAGAAAGGCCGAAATTATAGAGTGCAAAAATATGGGACATCAGTGTGTCTAGGATGTTCTAGCTTTTAAGTGGCTTTTTTGACGTCTTATTTTGGTGCTTATTGTGAAAAAGAACGTAAAAAAGGCTAGTAGTTGCTTAAAATGTTAGCCAAACATTGTCGAGCATGTGAAGATGTTTGGATGTAAAACTGAACTTCTCAAACATGTTTCAATTCATTTCATTACTTTTAAATGAAAGAAATTATTACTTTCACTGATAGTTACTATTTTTTACTTTACAAATAAACAGAAAATATTTGATTTAAAACTGGCTAATGTACTTACAAGTATGGGGACGAAAATCGTCAGTGTATTAGAAACCATGTGGACACTTGAACAAAACAAGTTTGAAATGATTTGGTTCTGGATTTGATATTTTGACGATTGTTTGAAATCAAATTAAACTATTTAAAAAATTAAAAATAAACGTAAAAATGATTAGACACTATCGTTTGTGATATTTTAATTGCATTAAGGTCCTCAACTTTTATTCATTGTTATGCATCTTCTCTTTTCATTTTTATTTCCAACCTTCTATGCACATCTAGTATTTGATTACGGCATTTATCCAAATATTTCCTAATAAGTTTTTTTGACAGAAATAACGAAAGGTTGACGAGAAGAATATCGCAAAGAAAAGTTAGGAATTTAAGTGCAATAAATAAATCAATCCATCATGAGATTGTCCGTTCATAGTTCATATTTTATACAGTAAACCCTCTCCGCACCCAAAAAGCATCGCATTGTCAAGTTCAGAAGCAACATTGGAGTCGGATCATTTATACCCCAAGTTAGACGAATAGTTTTTAGACTTGCTTAAGTGTTGACCCAAACATAGAGGTAGGTTGGTTGGTTAGTGATTAAACATCTGACTCGGTGATTGACTTTACAATAATAATTAATCTTACATGTTTAATCTTTAAACCAGAAATGAAGAAGATGAATATGGAAAATGTAGTAAAAAAATGCTACCTAATAATTGAGAAAACTTTTCTTTCTTTGCAAAGCAAAGTTGAGCTTTAAAACCTACATCTTTCTAAGTACTCGGAGCAACTAAAATTTCTAACTGAAAATATCATATAACTAATGCGTTTGAAATGTTAGATTAGACGAAACAGTTAACATTCATAGTACAATATTCTTTTTCGGTTGTCTAGTTTTGTCTAATCTAGAATTTATCTTTTTGCTCTAAACTTAAACAAAAATGTTTCTCTTCATTGATGGACTCCCATCAACAAAAACTACTCGTACAATCTTTTTTATATAAATTCTACCGAGCTGAATGACATGATTAGTCTTATTTGATGTTCGTATTTGTAAACAAGTTGAAAATTACTGTGCCCGTTATTTTTGAACGCAGTTTTTCAAAAGTTAAAAAAAAAATGAAAAAGAAAAAGAAAAGATTTTGTGTGACCTTAGCAAAATTTCAATAATTTGCCCTCATTTTCCTTTCCATCTCCCTCGGTCACATTACATTTCCTTTTTATTTTCCTTATATCCAAACAGTCCCTGTTCTGAATTCTACAAGAACCCTAAAAATCACGAACATTTTACACTTTCCTGAATAGTAGCCGACAAGAATTCTACTCCCACTTCCAGAAATTGCTGCACGAATACCAAAAATGGCCGCCGCAGCTCCACCTCCTCCACCGACCTCCGCTCCCGTCACCCTCCCGGAATCTGATCCTTCTGGCAACACTCTCTTCACCCGCATCCGCCTCGCCACCGTTGATGACGTCCCCCACATCCACAAGCTAATCCACGAAATGGCTGTTTTCGAGCACCTCATCCATCTCTTCGAAGCCACCCCAGAGTCCCTCGCAAATACTCTCTTTCCCGAAAATCCTCCTCCGCCTTTTTCTTCCTTTACTGTTTTTCTTCTCGAGCTTTCTTATATGCCATTTCCTCCCACGCCACAGGATGAACATTTTACCCCGATTCTGAAGTCGATCCACCTCGACGTGCCCATTGAAGATCCTGGTAGAGAAATGTTTAGAAGTAAGGCGATTGATGTCAGTGTTCTGGGTAGTGATGTGATTGTTGGTGGATTTGTTCTGTTTTTCCCGAATTACTCGACATTCTTAGCTAAACCCGGATTTTATATCGAGGATATTTTTGTGAGGGAATGTTACAGAAGGAAGGGACTGGGGAAGATACTGTTGTCGGCAGTTGTATCTCAGGCGGCGAAGATGGGGTACGGTAGAGTGGAATGGGTGGTACTGGACTGGAATGTGAATGCCATTAAGTTTTACGAGCAGATGGGGGCCCATATTTTACCAGAGTGGAGGATCTGTAGACTCACTGGTGACGCCCTTCAGGCTTATGCTCATATTAACATTTGATTTGACTACAGTTTTATCCTTGTTTTCATGACTATCACTGAAGGATTTTATCCATTTCTTGGTAGTTTTCGGGGTTGAGATATGTAGAAGTATGTTGTACTCTGCTGATTATGTTTGCACAATGTTATGAACCGAATTTTAATTAAAATAAATTTATTTCTTGGCAATTTAACTTAGCTGATAAAATTTGTTAAATTTATGTGAAATTAGTGTCATTTTGTTGATGACTATTTTTCTTATTTTATGTTTGAATTATTCTGAGTGTTGAGTAACTGATTGGATTGCAGTGTTAAGTTCTTATATATTGCTGAAATCTGAATAAGATTACTATTGCAGGTGTTGCTTGGAATATCCTGCAATGGTAAGGATGAGTTTTTCTTTACTTAGGCATGAGAAGTAGAACGTAATTAACCAGAGTTTCTGTTTCATTTTCATATTGGAACTATAGCAATCCAATGCTTTGATATGTATGTAATATTGAACACGTTGTGACATGATTAAATGGCTCGAGGGTTTTCTTAATTCACTCAATTGGAATGATACAATCTAGATTCTTTATCGAGCGTTGATATGTAATTCTGGTATCAATAACTTATATTTAGTTGTAGTTAGAGAAGCTTGTAGTTTGACATTGGGTTACATTGGTCTGTTTGCCTATAGTGCCCACCGGTGATTAGCCTAGAAATTTCTTGAGTATTCAGTAATATGCTGTGTTCAATGTTGCTTGGATTGAAAGAGTTTGTAGTCTCTTGAAAAGATTAGTCTAGAATCATCTTTAGTCAGTTCTCTTAAACAATGATTAAGTTTGTAAATTAGGTGACGTGATTTTAATTTCGTTAGGCCCTACAATTTGTTAGATTTTTCCCTGGTAGTTGTCTCGACTTTTCGGGAGTTTGCTATGTTTATTAGCTAATCTTCAATTTCTAATTAGCAACTCTCCTACTGGGATTCCAATCGCAGTAGGGCTAAATAACATTACTCTTTCCTATATCTGTATATATGCTGCTACATGTGAAAGTTGGATGCTTCTATTTCCTTATTTTTTCTTATGGGAAATAGTTTTGCGATCATATGTTGGCAAAATAAATGTCTATAGTGCAGATCATATTTTGGCAAAATAAATGTCCATAGTGCAGAACTAGTCCACTTGAGCCCTAGTGACTTAAAATGTCACCTAATTTTACATGAAAGTGTTACATAATTTTGAGCACTAGTGGCAGTAGAGAAAAATTGGATATGTTAATTTAAAATGATGTGTCAGTCACTTATTGGGTGGACGATAAATTTTGGACAGCGGTTCTCAACTGTTCCGATTTGAGAAAGCATTGAGAATTTTTTGTTTGAGGACAAAGAGACCTTGTGTTACACAATCTTAATATAGATACTCCATCCCACCATCCCGTTGAATCTTGCTTTAATCGATGCACCAAACTTGTCAAATATATTAGTAACTATACGAAAAAACATGAGAAATGGAAACTTCAACCATATTACAATAGGGAGAGTGGACGAGAAAAGGCTGTCATATTCTCTACAAAAGCATTCTCTACCAAAGGCAATAAGGGAACCCTTTTTCAGTCTAGGCCCAAAAACAGCAGAAGTTAAACTCTATTCAATCTTCAGTAAGAATCAATTCCACCCCAAAGCACAGATTCATGTCAGTACTTCTGAAATCTTGGAATTCAGTGACTTCCATAAGGGCCATTTCCACAGAAAAAGTCGAAAAATTTCTGGCCAGAATTTCCTCCCTGATTACCCAAAATAGGGTCATTTTCAAAGGAACTCGAAGTACTAGGGGATGAATTTTCTTCATTTGTAGAAATCCCTGTTTTTGCTTGTAAAATACCTGTTGGGTGAATGGGAAATAAATCCAGTGTTTCTTGAGTCCTTTCCTCTGCACAAGATATGAAATCGTGCATGATTCCGTCGTCCTTCGGACATGCAGGGTGCTTGTTTTTGTCGTCGTTTTCTGGGATTGGTCGCCTTTTAAAACCACCAAGTAGGGGCAACTTCGAGTACAACCCTATATCAGCCCGAGGTGGTGGTTGTATGTAGCAGGGGCTGCAAACAACTGGACAAATGATGTTTAATAAGAATCAAATATACACAATGCGTCGCATGAAGAAAAACTAAAAAAATGTCACGATAAGAATGGAACAACAGCAGATCATTAGATTCATTACTGCATATTGGGGCATGGTCAGTGCATTATAATGGACAACACTGCACAAAATTAAAATTGAAGATGTTATCATGTACTGTGATATCTAGTACGACGCAATAGACGCGTTCTTCACGCATTAAAGAAATAGAAAAAGAGAAAAAAAAAAAAAAAAAAGATATCATGATAATCAAGATAGGATCCATTACATACGTAAAGTGGTGGGAGTTGAACTACAGAATTTACCACTATAGCATGGAGGAAAAACTGGATTTTTATTGGGAAAGCTATTAAAACAAGCTTTATTATCCTGCTTCTGCTTCTGTCTTTGCCTTGCCTTGTGATTCTGAAACCAGTAGAAAACATTCTTGCCCTCAATGTGGCCAAAAGCCCTCAGCCTATTTGTAATCTGCTGAATTTGTTCTGCACTTGGAGTCCTTAGACCCTGCATATACAAGCTCTCTAGCATATTCATTTGATCCTTCGTAGGATTCCATCTGGACCCTGCTGGACAATTGCCGAGATTATCACTCTCCATGTTAGACAGAAAGAGAGCTGCTGGTTTAGTAGTTTTGAACCCTTTTATAGAGATGAAAAGAATTATAAAATCACTCGAGAAATCAGCCAATGGAATATACATATATACACGTGTAATTTATGCATATAAGAAGATAAACGAAGAGTCAAACAAGAAACACAGACACTTGCAGATATATACACATAAAGAGATGCATGCTGAGAGTTTTTGGTGCTGAAAACATGGAGGAAGCGGCTGAGGGAGGCCTGGTGTTGGTCCCGGCATGGGTGAAAAGTTATGTGAAAAGACAGAAATAGTCCTATAAGGGGTTGTCTTGGGAATGAAAGAAGGTGGGTAAGTTTAGGATAGCGCCATGCGTGGGTAGTAGGGGTATTTTAGGGAATTAAGAAAAAGACAGGCGGTTGGGTTGTAAGGGGTCTAGGGCCTAGGCTTTGGAAACTGAAAAAGTGTGGAGTGATGCCCCTTTGGAGGTGGTGAGGAGGACTGAGGCAAAAATTGCTTTGAGATTTGAGAGCTAGTTTTAGTTTTCTTGATAGTTTATACTCACATAAAAGTGTTGCATTTATTTGTTATTTGTTTAAAGTTTAGATGATCGACCAAGATTTATATGTCAATGTAATTATTTATGGAAAATGTCCTGTGTACAAATAATTTCTTCACAGATTTTCTATAGGACAATTACATGGGGTGGACCCCATGTGAATATTTTATGGGAGTGTGCCCTATTGCCGTGTGGATTCTGTAAAATGTCTGTATAATTTTCCCTTTAAATGTAGCACTGTCCATTACTTATACATTATTCAATAAATTTTTTATTTATTTTTAAATTGGATAATGTGGTAGCAATTATATTGTTATCTAATTTATGTTTGGTAGAAATTAAAATTCAGACTTCAATCTAAATAAAAGTCAATAATTAATTTTAACTATACATTTTTCAACCTTTCAACCACATTTCTTCAACTTTTATCATAATTTACTATTTTAACTCCCACCAAATAAGGTTCCAGATCGATGTTCATCTATACTCTAGATAAATGACATTGTTCTTTTTTCGAATAATGTGATTCATTATTACTAGAGATTCTATATCGATGCTAATTTTATTGATGATTAATAGTATTTTTACTTCTTGATGAGCGGGAAGGTTGTTGAATCTCTATCTTTTCCTTTTTTTGTTTTCTTTACTATTTCACTTGTAATACTATCTATGGTATACAAAAGTTGAAAGTTCTTATTTATAGAAGCTTCTCACAAAATATGCAGCTTTATTATTTATTCATATATTGTTCTTTTCACCAGCTATCACTTCATTATTGACCACTGACGTGGTAGACCCCAAATAAAAAAATCCTGGCTTTGAAACGAGACAAGATTCATGGTGTGTAAAGTTTCTCACATTTGCACTTTGAGCTCATGCATGTTTAAGGCAGGCAAGGCGGGACCGGACGGCCCATATCATCTGGGGCCTCTGAATATTAGTGGTCTCGGAGTAGAGAAAATTATCTTAAATCCTATATTTTAATTTTCATCTTTAAAATTTAGGTGTTTCACATTAAAAAATAAGGTAAAATTATTATTCAAAAATCAAATAAAATTACTTTCTATCTACAACAAAGATCCGTAAGTCTGATCGCTACCAACAATTCCGAACATCGCCATTGGAAAACCAACTACTTGACTATAGTCTACACCTCTACCCTAAAGCCCTTGGCCTTTACAGAGTAGATCGTTGAAGCTTTCAAATAAACTCCGGATTTCAATTTGGATGTCGCAAGTTCGTGTTGCAGAGTTAACGATGGCGTCTGACTTGGCTTACTGAAATCGGTGGAGGTTGAAACTTGAGTTGGTTCTCAAATCAGTGTAGATGGTGGTGTTGATATGGATTTGAGGTGCAGATAGTGGAGGTTGTGAATTTGAGGTGGTGGCGACAATTTTGTATGGTGTCACTCGTGGTGGTATGAGATGAAGAGTGATTGTAACCAGTTAATTGAATAATTTGTGATCGTTAAATAATTTGACTTATAAAAACATGTGATTTGTGACTAAATATGTAATTGTGACTGATAATATGTGTCTTTGTAACCATGATCTTTTATGATACATGACTAGTATGTGACCTTAACTATAAATTTTGTGTTTTGTGACCACAATCTATTTAATTAAACTATAGGTCTTATAATCTTGTCAGATGTCACAAAATGTGACCACCTCATTTATGAAAATTTTCCACAAGTTTCTTGTTTTTTAAAATTTTATTTTGATACCATCGTGGTTATATATTTTTCCCATCTTAATACATATACTCTTTTGCGTAAATTCCAAATCTCGATAGGACCAACATAGCAAGCATTTTTATGTGTGTTTTTTTAATGGACATTTATACTTCTCTCCCAATAAATAAAACTATATACATCTATTCTAAAACTTTTTTAATTACCTAAAATATTAAATAAAATGGTAGAAAAATAAAAAATACTTTCCCTCATCTCAACTCGTTAAATCAGTGCAATTTCTACATCCTCACGTATAGATTCCCAAAATCGCGCTACATACGAAATTTCATATCATCGCAACAGAAACACAGATAAAATTCTTCTACACATATGACTTCGTTGTAATATAATTGAATTCTTGCCAATCCATTTGGAATAAGCTTCAACGAAGGACAAATTTCTTAATTACAAGGTTAGATTTGATTACTGTATAAATTGATATGCTAATGATATTACTTAATTATTAAATTTCTTCAACATTTGTATATCACGCTTTGCAAAGTGCAATTAAAATTATTTGGATTATGCTGTGTTCATTGTTATGAAATTTAAAAGTGGTGAAGGAAAATTCCAATATAAATCAATTATTACAACTAGTTTTAGGATTTGAATGGATTCCTATTACTCATAGGATTTAATTAGATTTATTCTTTAGCTGATATGATTCTTACTTCCATTAAAAATAGGTTTTTTGTGTTTCCCCCTTTTTAGAAGATTAATTCATTTTCCATAAGAATCACATACGATTATCAAAGTTGTCATTACTGCAAACCAAAGCAATTGAAATACACATTAGTTTGCACATACGTGGTTTGCTAGCGTTTTCACCTTGGAAGAACCAAAATGTAATAGTTGAAATGAGTTTTACCCTTGCGATGGGTTTTTTATTTTTTATTTTTTATTTTTATTTTTTTTTTTGGGCACAATCATTTTTTGATGGATCCACGTTGGATTTGGGTTCGAAATTGTGTAGTTTTCTTCTAGATTTTGTGCGACTTTTGGGGGTTTTGTTCAGCACTAAAAATAGTGCGGCTAAAAAGAATAGAAATATTTTGGGTTTATATATAAAAGTAGAACTAGCTTAATATGTTTAATAAATTAATAGTTTGAAGGGTAAACTTTGAATTAAAAATTTTGAAATTTCAACTTTTTTACAAATTGTAGGGTTCATGTCAATTTACTTCTATTTTCAATCGACGTTGGCATGAGAGATAAAATTATGGGCTTTATTATATCCTAATTTTAGCTATTTCATTGTAAATAATCCCAAGTCAACGAAAATATCTCTCTAAGAACTCATACTCATTAGCATACAACACAAATTATTGAAAATTTTGGATCAAATCATCTAATTTTCACAATTTTGTTTCTCATGAATTAACATTAATCGAATTGGGGTAGCTTCCAAACCATAGACTGAAAATTTCTTCGAAAACCCCTTAATTTACTCTCGATTAATCCCACTAAAATTAAAAAAAAAAAAAAAACCTACCTCATTATTGAAAATTATATTGATTATTGAGTTTTGAGTTTATAGATTGAGTTCTGAAAAATCCTTGGAGAAAAACTGAATGCATACTTCAATCTGAGTCTAACTTTTAAGAGTAATACTATTTGTAGTTGCTATCTACCTTAATTGTCCTACGTGACATCTATGCGGTAGTTAGTACGCATCAAATTACTAATAGTTACATATATGCCACGTAGGATGATTACAGTAGTAAGCGACTGTAAATAACATTATCTAACTTTGAAAGTTCGATTCATATTGAAAAATTCTCAAGTTCATCCCTGAAATTTCTAATTGATAAGATTGAAGTTTTAAGTGAA